GGAACTTTGCTTTTATTTGTAACCCACTGAAAAACTCTGCAAAGGTTTGTGTGCTCAATGAGAGGAACGTGCAATGTATTGTAAGGAACCCGCTCAGAGGGGGATTGGACTTGATGATCCCCAGATCATCCAACTCCAACTGGGATCCCCCAGACCTTCCAACTCCTGCAACTCTATGATTCTGTGAAAAGGTGGAGGGACATGCTGCCAAAGGAGAAGGAAACAACCCTGAGAGAGAAAAAGTGAGTGGCTCTGAAAAGATCTGGAGAAGGCACATGCACAGAGGTTCAGTAGAGATGTCAGTGGGTTGGAAGGAGAAAAAAAGAAATGATGCTCTGGAGTTTGTGTTGGTTTGAGCCCAGTTTGGTTCTTGTGTGTGGGCAGAACTGACAAAAGTCACAGACCGCAGAAACACCAGAAACTGAGGGAAACAAGGTTCCTTCTTAAGGGACTCCTCCACCACATATGATGTACTGAATCTTTATTCCCCAGCTCCTTGTTAACACAATACTGTCAGGCTCCACTGCCAACCTTGAATACTTCTGATTCATTCCTGTGGTTCCCTGAGCATCCAAATGAGACAGAAATTTGGTCGGCTAACTTATTTAGGAATGCCTTCTCCCCTTTCCTTTACTGCACACACTGCAGTATATTGCTGGCATTGTTTAAACTGTTACTGGCAAACAGTATTGCTCTGTACATTATAAATAGAAAGCAGGCAGCAAATGGAGTTAAATGTGGACCGAGAGGCACAAATTCCTAAGCAAACAGTCTGTGTGTCTGACAGGAAATAGAAGAACGTTGTTGAATTTGCCCGTGGCCAGTCTAATCTAATCTTTTTTTTTTTTTTTTTTTTTAAGAATGTGATATTGTATGTCTACCAAATAACAGCTTCTTAAAACTGAAAATAAAGCCACTAATACAGGATCTCCCCAGAACATCCAAATTACTTAAACCTTAACACGGCTTTGAATTCTGCTTTTCCAGTGTTCTCGGGTGTCAGATAACAGTGAACAGCAGCTTACACAAACACACTGAGTTGCACAGGCAATAACCTGCCAACATGTCTACAAAGGACAGGCTGGTAGCAAACCCCCACCTTGTTCATAAATGCCCTTCATCTGTAGGAAAGATCACAGTGACACTCAGCTCCCATTATCTGTGATAAAACAAAAACTGTGCTGCAATCCAAGATGCCCTGCAGTGCACTGGCGGTGAAGTGCACCCATCTGTTGTGAGTTCTGCATGATGCAGGCATCTTCTGCGTGAAACGCAGCACAGATGTAAAACTTCTCACTGAACTTCTCAGAGTCTATCTTATTTTGATATATATTGATTGGTTTTATGGGTTGGGTGTTTTTTTTTTAGTTTTCCTTCGAGATTGAAGTTTTGCAAGAATTGTGGTCTCTTCTGGTGACAACTGGAGTGAAGAATGTTGAGTTTGCAGCAGTTTCTATCATTTTCTGCTGGGGTAGCAAGGACTTCTGGAAATTAAGATTAATCTTTCCTTCTTCCTGTCTCCTAAAGATAGCAGGAGTCTCTCCCCTAACTGCACTGCAAGCTCATTTCACAGCTAAAAGCTTTTAATTAAGAATTATCTATTCCTACTTCTCCCTCATTTCTTCCTCAGCTTGCTTCATCTTTCAGATTTTAGAAAAAGGTTTTGCCACCCTGACAGTTTCCATTTCACACTCAATATGAGTTGCAAGAATCCAGTCTGTTCAGTGTTCACTGAATATTCTTCTATAGATATCTTTGGGGGTTTACTGTAAACTTGGAGGGCCAAAAAATTTCCTTGGACAAGCAGATCATTTTCAGTTTCGTGTTGCAAACCTTGAAACACCTTTATTTTTTTAGTGAGATTTACATCAGAGAATCATAAAGTTTGGAAAAGATCGCGAAGATCATCCAGTTCAATCATCAGCCCATCCCCACTAATGACATGCCCACTAATCACATCCCTCAGTGCCACATCTGCACATTTCTTGAAGACCTCCAGGGATGCTGACACAGATGGGCAGCCTGTGCCAATGTCTCACCACTCTTTCGGAAAAGAAATATTGCCTAATATCCAACTTAAACCCTCCTTGGCGCAACTTACGGCCATTCCCTCTCCTTTTATGATCAGGAAGCAGAAGCTGATCCCCACCTCATCACAACCTCCTTTCAGGCAGTTGTAAAGAACAATAAGATCTCCCCTGAGCCTCTTCTCCAGACTGAACAATCCCTGTTCCCTCAGCTGCTTCACTTAAGGCTTGTGCTCCAGACCCTTTTTTGAAGGGCACGCATTTTGGTTTTGGAATAGCTTACATTTTCTGCTGTAAGAGCAGGCAGAGTGACATAAGCTTTGCTTTGCTGGAACAAACTACAGAAAAAAACTGCTAGGGGATGAAGAGCTGTATGTATCCCAGCACTCAAGGAGAGGTTGATAGAGGTCTGGACGCTTCTTGACCTTCCCCTCATGTGAAAGCCTAAGAGCTGAACATCCTCAAACTCTCCATCTCTGCAAGCCAGGTGCTGCTACTTTCTCCCTTGGTGTAAGAAAAGAAGAGGAAGAGAATGCAGACAGGAATTAAAAAACAAGGGCTGAACCATGCCTGCGACTGTACTGAGGTCAAAGAGGATCCTGCAAACCCAGAGGCCTGGACCTTATTTCACAGTGGGTGTACGTGATCCTACATGCAGGGCACAGCTCCTGTTGATCTTTGTTCTGCGGGATGAGGACATGAATGAGCTGGGTCTGAGCAAACACTTAATACACAACAGAGCATTGTGAGTATTTTAATTACAGCCTCTTGCTTGAAAAACATAATGGTGTTCCGCAGTGGTAACTTATACTGCAAATTTGTAATAGTATTATTTACTTATCTTTAGACAGACAACGCAATATGGCAAATGGGAGCTTAATAACTTGTTGATTACTTTAGAAATGTCTTGCAAAAAATATGCAGAAATAAGTGATAATAAAAGAGGAAAGGATTAGTGCTGCTGATTTAAAACTTTATGAGGCAGATTCTAAATCCTGACGCTGGAGCATTTGTTCTAGCATATAAAAATGCAAAGAACAGACTGGCGGAGTCCTTGATCGAACAACTGGCAGGCAAGTAGCAATAAATCATGAAAATTACATTTCCTAAACTTTACCTTTTAATAAATGAGGTGCTGTTCGAAAAAATAGCCTGGGAGAACATGCTCATACAGCACTGCTCGCTCAGTAACAAGCCAAATCCAGCTCTGCATTTTGGCTGAGCTGCACCAGAGATAGATTTGGCTCCGTCCCTCCATAAACATGAATCAAGCTGTTTGCATTTTGTCATTACACTACCCTGGCCCAGGAGGATACATTTCCTTGGCAACTACAATTAAGGAGCTGACAAAAATACTACATATTATCTACATCATTTTTTCTTCCTTAACGAAAGCTGCATTTCCCCAGCCCTACTCCTCCCTGCGTGAGGAAGATTAAGGGGCCCATCCAACTTCCTGCAACACGAGAGATAACATTTCCAGTGGTTTCGATAGCTACAGCAGAATTCAGTTTGTTTTGCAATTATTTATCAGATTGATAGGCTGAGCCAGGCAGCACTTCCAGCCCCATTGGCTCTACTGCCTACACCTCAGTTTGTAAAACTTTTTCTGTCCAAGGTGAAGGCAAAGAGAAGGAGAAGGTGGCTGCAACAGCGGCTGCACTGAGAACACTCTGAGTTTGCAGGTGTTTGGGCAAGGTTACACTGACTAACACTCTAGGAAATCACCAAGAGCATGATCTACACAGGTGCTTCAGGATCACACGCACATTTAATGAAATAATAGAAACATAGAATGGCTTGGCTTGGAAGGGACCTCAAGGATCACGAATCTCCAACCCCCCTGCCACAGACAAGGCCACCAACCTCCCCATTTAATACCAGACCAGGCTGCCCAGGCCCCCATCTAACCTGGACTTGAACACCTCCATGGGCTGGCATCCACAACCTCTCTGGGCAGCCTGTTCCAGCACCTCACCACTCTCTCTGTAAAGAACATCTCCCTGACATCCAACCTAAATCTTCCCTCCTTCAAGTTAAAACCATTTCCCCTTGTCCTGCAGTTATCTACCCTTTCAAAGAGTTGACTCCCTTCCTGTTTATAGGCTCCCTTTAGGTACTGGAAGGTTGCCATGAGGTCACCCTGCAGCCTTCTTTTCTCCAGGCTCAAATGACTCACAAAAAAAATGCTGTTCTACACATTAAGGCTTTCATCCAATTGGCCAAATGGATCCTGGTGATATCAAAAGCAAAGCAGTGGGGTTTGGGTCCTAGTCCCTTAGACACTTCCTTGGATACAAAATGCTCTTATATCTCATAGGCATTGCTTGAAGATGTTACACTTCATGGATATCTCTGACTGAATGTGCCATTGGGAAAATGGAGTTGCAGCTCCTTCCTTTTACTACAGTGGGACCTTCAGGCTTGGCTCCCACTTGGTTTCTCTGTAGCAGAGCTCAGATCCTGGCTCGCCCTTTAGGAGCAGCTGTAATCTTCGCCTTCCTCCTGATATGTCAAATAAATTATAAAATAAAGTATTTATAGTCCCTCATGATTTTATGCTCTGTAAAATATTCTGATGAATGCAAATCCCTCTCCCAAACCCTTACCAGATTTCTATTCCTGATCCAGCACAAATCAAGACTAAATATAAGAGAAGAACTAATAATTCAAGGAATTTCCATCATGACTCTTCCCAGCTAGATGTTACATTTTAGGATGAAAATAGCAACATGTGCATTGATTGTAATAACATAAGATAGTCTTCACTGAGCATCAGGAAAGTCTTCAAGAACACATTCGCAAGAAGTTTGTCAAACTTCACTTTCAGGGGAAATGTCAGTGATTTCAGGACTTGCGTACAAATTTTAGGCTGCATCCATGAGCAGTGCATTTGTTCCCTCCTTGGGAGGAAGCTGACAGTGCAAGTTGGCTGCAACGCATGCTCATTGTTGTTAGAGATAAATTCTAGTTCAGCCGACTGAACCCAACTTGCAGTCTTCTGCCTGTCACTCCGACTTGCCAGGAGGTGAGTTCCAGCCAACATATCCATCCCCTGCTGTCTGAGACACAAGAGAACAGTGCTTCTATTGACTGCACTCCACAGACCCATCTTGGTGACCTGTGAAGTTTTCACCTAGCTGATGGTAAGTCAGAAAAACAGCAAGAGAACAAAGCAAAGTCTGCTTTCCTCCTCTGTTGCTTGCTTGCGTGGCAACATGATAACACCACTATCAGAATCAGCAGCCCTTTTCCGTTCTCATAACAAATCAGTCGTTGCCATCACATAGAAAACGAGCCTGAACCTGCTTTTGGTTGCTTTTGAGTATTGGGTTAGGGGGATTTCCACATCTGTTTCCTGTGCTTGCGGCTGTAGAGCAGGAAGAGCATTGCTCCACACAGCAGCTGCTAACCCTTGGGGGAGCCAGCCTGTGAGCGTGCCTGGAAGTCCTTCACACTTCATCTCCTGTAGCTTTGAAAACACAGACTGCCATTGAACCCACCCAGTATGTGGAGTCAGGGCAGGAGCCTGAATGGGGAGAGGGTTTGATTTGGTTATAGTTAAGAAAAAAAGGGGGGCAAAAAGGAACAAAGCAGTCAGTGAAGGGAAGGAAATAATGAAACCTGGCCTGAGCAGGAATATTTCGAGTACCAAGCATGCCAGCATGAGAACTCATCTCCTCCCAGGGCATGCCTTGGCTGTATCTTCATGCTCTAATATGGACAACTGCTGTGAAGATTTCCCTAATTGCTCTCCTTTGTTTGCTTCATGAATCTCTCCAGGATGTCCTCTCTGCAGGAGGAGACATATTTTCAGTCACTCCTGCTACTGACCTGGGTGGAATGACTAAAACACCTTCCTTGTCACATGGCTGGCTTCTCGCAGCCCTCTCCCCTCTAGTCCATGAGGCTGCAAGAAGTCAACCTTCACTTGCTTAGGAGAGCCACCACTTCCAGTGCTATCAGTCAGCATCATCCTCTGAGGTTCTCTCCAATCTCAGCAGCCAACAAACTCTCCCCTTGATCCATTTTCTTTGTCAGTACTTCCTCACTGTGTGTGACTGTCAAGTCTTGCACATTTATTTGCTGTAACAAGGCTGTTTCTCTCTTTCTTAGGCTTCAAAGGACATAAAAACATGTAGCTCTTCCCCACTCATTCCCTCCTCACAAAGAAAGCTTATGAGCAAGGAAGGATAAACACCTGTCATTCAAAACCTCTTTCCCCAGTAACCTCTGGCCATCTGGCCCCTGTCTCTTATTCCAAAGCCAGGTAAGTTGTCTGCCTGATTTCCTTCAGCTCGTTTTCACACTTTCCAAAACTTGAAACTTGCTCACTGCCGAGCGCTTGAGACTGATTAAAAATAGCTTGTGTTGGGCAAAACAACCAGTGAGTTTTCCACTGCCTGCCCCATACAAGGATCTCATGTAGCACCTTGTTGAATGCTAATCACAGAATCACAGAATGGCTTGGGTTGGAAGAGACCTTAAAGTCCATCCAGTTCCAACCCCTCCTGTGGTCTGGTTGCCCCCACCAGCTCAGGCTGCCCAGGGCCCCATCCAACCAAACCTCAAGTACCTCCAGGGATGGGGTACCCACGGCTTCTCTGGGCAGCAGTGCCAGTGCCTCATTGCCCTGATTTGAGGAAAGATGAGATGTTACTGCAGAGGTCATCTCTTCAGCTTGGATGTCCCAGTAAGACTGATGAGGGCCTCCTGAAGGCTTGCTGCCCTCATCATGAAGTGGTAGGAAACAAAAGAAGAAAGAATGCGTAATTTTAGAAGACTTCTGCTTCATATAGCAGAAAATAAATAGAGGACATTGAGTGTTGTCCACAAAGCAGCCAATGGCAGCCCAGAAAGCTGGCAGTGCATACAGAGAGACCTTTAAAGTCTTCCTGATCGCATTGTGTCTGCAAATTCAAGAGCTGTAGCACAACAAAAGCATGGCAATGTACTTTAGATAGCATCATGCCTCTCTTCAACATGAGCTTCCTAAGCAAAAACCAGTGCAATGCGGCGTTGCTTATCAAACACTGATGTAGTGTGCTTTCACCTTTATCCTCACCTTCACCTTTTAATCCTTAACAAAACGTGCTCTGAATGTGCAGCAAAGACGAGTGTTAATGAATCCCCAGCGTGCACGGAACTGCAGGGCTCAGTGTGGTGTTCAGTACAGCTCTGGGATTACATACAATTAGAGCGTCTAGACCGCATTCAGCAGGGATATGGATGGGGTGAGGATTACAGCTGAGAAATCAGACAGATTCAATGAGAGTGTGGGGGGCTGGTTTGTGTGGGAGAGGAAGCCAAGTGGAAATGCAAGAATGCACCAGACAAATTATCACTGGGCCTGATTGTACACCTCCAGCTTCCTTGAATCTAGAATCATGGAATCGTCTGAGTTGGAAAGGATCTCTAAAGGTCGTCTAGTCCCAACTCCCTTCCACAAACATGGACATGTACAGCTAGATCAGGCTGCTCAGAACTCAGGTTCAGGTAGGCTGAGCTTCACCACCTGTATGCTCTCTGTATGTGGCCTTCTGCTTTGCAAACACCAAGCTTTGATATCTCTTGGACACGAAAGCGCAGAACCTTTCACGTGGTCCCATCAGGTCCACCTGGTCCATATAGAGTCCTGAGTAGATTAAACCCTAATTCCAGGTCCCCAGACTCTTTTAATCCCCAGGCAATGCTGCCAACCATAGCTCTTCCTTTATAGAATCTTAGTAACGTAAAGGTTGATCACCTAGTTCAACGATCAACCTGTCACCACCATGCTCACTAAACTATGTCCCTCAGTGCCATATCTACCTTCCCTTCTACTCATCTAGGACATTACTGCCATATGTAAGAATATTCCTAAAGAAATCAATGCACAGTCACAATCTATTTGACAAGCCAAGAGTAATTCTCACATCTGAACTAGAAAAAATGTCCTATTTTCTTTCTCCTGCTCCCCATGCAGGCAGCTGGGCCAAAACCAATCCCTTCATGCTGAATCTGAAGGAACACACAGAGAAGATGACTTGTCTCTCCTCAGCCTCAGGCTCATGGCACAAAGATTGGTTTTCCTATGCTGGGGCACAGCAGCACTGAGCATTATTCTCAATGATATCTGAAAAGTTGTGGCGATCAGGTGAAGTCCCTGGTGACTGGAAAAAAGGCAACATCACACTCATTTTTAAGAAGGTTAAAAAGGATACTGACCTGCCAGTCTCACCTCTGTGCTGAAAAAGATCATGGAACAGATCTTCCTGGGAGCTGTGCTAAGGCACATGAAAGACTGGGAAGTGATACAGGAGAACCAGCATGGCTTCACCAAGAGCAAATCCTGTCTGACCAAACTAGTGCCCTTCTATGATGATGTAAGTGCATCAGTGGACAAGGGAAGAGCCACTGATGTCATCTATCTGGATTTCAGTAAGGCCTTTGACATGGTACCCCACAACATCCTTCTCTCCAAATTGGAAAGATCTGGATTTGATGGGTAGACTGTTCAATAGACAAAGAACTGGCTGCAAGATCAAATCCAGAGAGTGGTGGTCAGTGGCTCAATAGCTGGATGGAGATTAGTGATGAGTGGTGTCCCACAGGGGTCAGTGCTGGGACCAATATTAGTTAATATCTGGTGGATGGCAAGCTGGACATGAGCTAGCAATGTGCCTTCACAGCTCAGAAAGCCAACCATATCTTGGGCTGCATCAAAAGAAGCACAACATCAGGGCGAAGGAGGTGATCCTGCCCTACTGCTCTGTGCTGGTGAGGCCTCATCTGGAGTGCTGCATCCAGATCAGCAGTCCTCAGTACAGGAGAGATATGGACCACAAAAATAATCCAAGGGATGGAACACCTCTCCTATGAAGACAGGCTGAGAGAGCTGGGGCTGTTCAGCCTGGAGAAGAGGAGGCTGTGAGGTGACCTAAGAGTGGCCTTTCAGTATCTAAAGGGGAACTACAGGAAAGAAGGGGACAGGGTAGCAGGGTCTGTGGTGACAGAACAAGGGGAAATGGCTTCAAGCTCAAAGAGGGCAGATTTAGGTTGGACAAAAAGAAAAAGTCTTTTACAGTGAGGATGGTGAGGCACTGGAACAGGTTGCCCAGAGATGTGGTGGTGTACCTGGAGACTTTTGAGGTGAGGCTGGATCAGGCCCTGGGCAACCTGATCTAGCTGTGGTGTCCTTGTTCACTGCAGGACTAGATGGCTTTCAGAGGTCCCTTTCAACTGTAAAGATTCTATGATTCTATATCCTATTCTTATTTGTGTCTTGAGCTTTGGCACCCCAACAGTACCCAGGATGATATGATCTCTCCTTGTCTTCTGCCTTCCTATTCCATACTTGAGGGAAGTATGCATAGACCTGCTTTGTGGTTGCTGTACGTGGGCTCTGTGTGTATACAATGGCCAAAGACTGCCTTTGGGAGCTCACTCCTATTGCTCCCTCGTGTCAGGCTGCATAGATGTGTCCTAGTGTGTGTTTCAGAGCCAGATGGTCCTCCCACTTGTTGCTTCCCACCAGCCTGTGCATCCAGATCAGAGGGGCCCCAGCAGGAAGGACGTTATGCTGAAGCACAGAAGCTCTTTTAAACACATCTCCAAAGTCTAACGTGGAGAATACCCATGCTAGACTTTGCCTCCAAAGCATATTTAGCCAATTTGATCCAGAAACCTGACCATATTTTAGAGAGCATATCCTTTACACTACTCCAGGCAGGCCTGTGATTGGCAAGCTTCACACAGTTCCAAATGTGAGCAGGAAGAGTCTCTCTCCAGCAGACAGTTAAAAAAAAACACATTTTTCACTGCATGAATACTCAAGTTCACCTACTTCTTTACTTACTCATCCAGCAGTGCTGTTTGGTGGCATGCAGGCACGCCACAGCATCACTCCTGTTCTCTCCCTCTCCCCTCACTAAAATAGGACAGAAGGGTGAGGGGGAAAAAATGAATATTTGTGAGGGCAGCAGACCTGTACACAGAGCTCCTGCCCACTCAGACCCTTCTGTAACCTCCCAGGGATTTTGCCATCCCCCATGGCCGCAAAAGGAGCGGTGCTCTGTGACACCACACTTTATGGAGAGTGGGTGCAGAAAATACTCTGCTGATCTTTTTGGCATCAAGAAGACATTTTCTACTCTGAACAGACCCACAGAGACTCAGGGTTTTATTCTTGCTTGCATGACAAGCAGTAGGTGTGGTAGGTCTGAGGTGTTTGGGAGTGTTCCACTATGCCAGAGCTGGAAAAATAAATCTCTAGCCTTTCCATGAAGTTTTCACCACCTGTCCCATTCCTTCCCTGCCGGAAACCCAGCCTCTTTCCCTCCTGTAGATAGTGGCTGGAGCTTTGCTTGTGGATGCTCTTTCACAAGTAACACCAGCGCTGAGAAGTAAACACAGTGCCACTAAACTGGGAAAAGCAATAATTGAAGTTTGGAAGGTCATGATGATCTTTTCTCCTTTTTCTCCTCTTGGGCAAGAGCAGCTACCAAATTCTTAGACTTATTGTCTCCTCATTGTCTTTTGCCTTCCAGCAGCACCCTGGAATCCCCATGGGTTGAGGCTTTGCCATGGTGGTGGCAGCAGCATCACCTTTGGAAGTTTGTTCAACACAAAGACATGGCAAAGCTACAGAGCCGAGGGAAAACCCCTCTCAGCAGGAGCAGATCTGAATCCTTAAATCATAAAATCATAAAGATTGGAAAAGACCACTAAGGTCATCCAGTCCAACCATCAGCTCATCCCACCATGTCCACGAACCATGTTCCTCAGTGCCACATCTGCCCTTTTATCTGTACTAGTGTTTTTACCCAATGCTATACACATCATGCTTCACACATGCCCTTTAGATCATATTCACATCTGTTCTGCTTCATACACTCTAGGTTAAGTGACTGAAATTTTAAGACTAGAGAGGCAGAGACAGATCCAGTGGACAACACACAAACCTGACTTCATCAGGAGAAGTTTAGAGAAGATTACTTGTAGAGCCTGTGGTATGCAAATGGAAAAAAAGGAACATGAGAATCACTGAACCTGATCTAATCTAAAGTCCTGTTAGCTCAGTATCCAATCTCCAAGGCCAAATAAGTGACTTCAGAAGCTGATAAGCACATATCTTCAGCCATGAGGTTTCTATTTCTCTTCCAGAAGTGCTGATAACTTAAAAATCCTTAAATTGGGTCTTTTTCCAGCCCTTCTGCCCTGAAGTTTTTCAAGCCTTGTATCTCCTGGTAAAAAAATAGGCACTCGAGACTAAATAATTTAAGATGTGTGAACATAGTTTGTAAGCCCAATATCTCAATATATTGTACTTCATGGTCTTAAGTTAAAAGAAAAGATTTTGTTAGAGGAATAGGTAAAATGCTGATAATGGATCTTGGTAGAGCAAATTCCATGGGGAATTGTAATGGTGCATTTGCTGGGATGTGGCCATTACTGTGTGCATCCTCAAGCAGTCACAAAGATTATGCCTTAGGTCCCATCCTACAGATCAAAAGTAGCATAAAAGTCTCTCCTGCATGCACAAGCAGATTCACAGAAGGAAAGTCCACCTGAACCTTGCACACAAACTTTCTTCTACTAAGAATGGTGACAGACCTGCTCCTGGAGAGGATGAATCTGTGGAGCACAAAAGACTGGAGGAAGGCTCCTTGAGTTCTACCCAGGAGGTCTGCCAAAGGTTCAGTACCACCTAAAGGCTATGTCAACAAGATTGTTCCTCTGGAATTTGCCAAGGAAAATTACTGTTATGATTAAAGGAAAGGTTTTGAACGATTAGAAGTTTTGCTGACTCGGTTTCATGTGTTTTAACTGAGTGCCAGATTCTCCAGCAAGATGTTTTTGATGTCTAGGGTGGTCCAAAAGGAATTTCAAGAGAAGTGATTTACACTTTGTATATGAGAGCAGGAGGTGAGGAAAGCCTCACTGAGCACAATGAAAGAGCTCGGGATTTCTATGGAATAAAATAATAACTGGGCTGAACTGCCAGACCCCTTAATGACCACATTCTCTTTCCAGAGATGGTAAAATGATGGACCAGCAGTTTTTAAATGAGCCTTACATTTCCAGGAATCTCTTTGCTTTTTTTTTTAAATAAAGGAAACATGGGATTAGAAACAATAGTGTTAAGATACCGAGATAAAGGTTATCCTTAAGTATATTTAGCCTGATTGGAAGTAGCAAGTATCACAAACCCCTCAAGATCTCCAGCTCCATTTGCCCATTTTAGGAAATACAAATAAATCCCCCAGTATTTGCTTGCTTATCTGCCACATCAAAGGAAAAGTGCTCACACAACAATGTCCAGTGTAGTTCACTCTTGTGCTGGCTGGTGGCTTCACATCCTACGCCTTCTCCCTGCCACCCATGGAGGAAAAGAGAAGGAATCCCACAAAGGAGGTGTTCCTGGCTCCTCAAAAGCTTTGGAGTTGTGAAATGGTCCAGAAGCACCAGGGAACCCATTCCTCTATAGATTCACTTTGCAATAGATGGCCAAATAGAAACACTCACAGTTTTAGGACGGCCAGGACAGGGCACAGCTCACGTGCAAATAACGTGAAAGAATCTGCTTTCTGAGCACTGTCATGTTATATGGCATCTGTATTTTGGATCAAATCTATGTGCCATGGTGGCTTTTTTCAAGATGGACAGTATATATTTGCACACATTGTAGAAAAGAAGGTCTTTTTAGGTGCTTCTTATCTCAATACGCACAAATGGGGCAGAATTTAGAAGTGTATTTGTGATACTGATGATATTTTGAGCCGTTTGTTACTGGGGAATAAACTATGTTGAGGCAGTTCCTTTTAATAAGACATCTCCACAATCTGTGCCCTTTCTGCCCCTTTATTTCCAGCACTTCCCTTGATTTTCAGCTTCCAATTTGTTATGTGGCATTGCAGAGAGACTGTCCTAAGGTGTGGGTGCTGCACTGCTCAAAACATCCACTTTCACACACCACATAGAATTATAGAACTGTTTGAGTCAGAAGGAAATCTTAGAGATCATCTAGTCCAACTCCCCTGCAATGAATAGGGACATCTACAGTCAGATCAAGGCTCTCAGAGCCCTATCCAACCTGACCCTGAATGTTTCCAGGGATGGGACCTCCACCACCTCTTTGGGCAACCTGTGCCAGAGCCTCACTGTTTGATGGAAGCAGTAAAACATTGGAGACCCAAATCCATCTCTGGTCTAACTCTGTTTGGCACTACTGAGTTCTTTCAGCAATATCCTTTTTAGACGCTGCTTCATTTGTCATTTGTTAACCTGATGCTAAAGCAGCTTTTTCGCTGCTGAGGAAATAAACATCTTGGCCAGTTTGAGCTTTTCCTGTGTAAGTTGCTACCTCAGGAAGAGAAGTCTGAGATAGCAAAATGTTTCATTCCTCAGTAGCTGAATAAGGAAGTTGGGGTTTAATGGAGAAATTCTGCAAAGCTGTGAGCTAAGGACAGACAGACATGCTGAACTGCAGCTGCCAGCAGAAGAGCAGTGTGTATAAACATGGAGTCACCGAATCATAGAATGGCTTGGGTTGGAAGGGACCTCAAAGGTTAACATGGTTAAGAATACACATGGTCTGATCCTGCATTTAAGGAAGACAGTAAAAGAAATCATTCTGAAATGCTTAATAATGTGCATGGCGCAGTCATGTGCTTTCTTGCCACCAGCAGCAGACATGGCCTGATGCCCAGGCCTTATTGGGCAGTTCACCACCCAATGCTGGTATTTCTGTCTTGTCAATCATTAAACGTAATGATCAAGTTAATTTAAGCATCCTTGTTCTCCAAACCAGATGCAGAGGAGTGATGTATCCCGTTGATGTCCATCACATTTTAAACCACTCCAGCTATATGCACACTGAGCTACCTGCAAACATTCCGAGTCTGGCACCAAAACATGATTTCTGCTTTGCTTGGGTGGCAGCCAGCTCACTTGTGGTACAGCACATAACCACACTGTGGCAGAAAGAAGAGAGCAGCCATCCTGTGGATTTTCTTTAGCAAGAAGCCAGAACACTGTTTTCCCTTCATTTCCACTGGTTTCCTACTGCAGCTTTGCTTTCAGGCTCTGCGGAGGTGGGATGGGTGGTTTGAGGCTGCTCTGTGGAGTTTATCCTTCCCCAGCACTGTGGTATTGATGGCTGGTGCCAAGAGAAATGCCCAACGATGGGCTTGGTAAAGAGGGTGCAGTAGCAAAGTGATACAGAGAAGAGAAACTTGCTGTTCGCACAACACAGCCTTATCTTGGAGCTGTTAGTACGGATCTCTGTGCCACTCATCTTTAAGCAGAAATCTGCCAACTGGAGGGCAGTGGGACAGCCAGCCCCAACACTGCAAGTGATCAGAGAGCAAAAGGTAATGGACTGAAGTTACACCAAGTGAGGTTCAAGTTGGGTGTTAGGAAAAATTTCTTCTCAGAAACAGTGGTGAGGCATTGGTACAGGCTGCCCAGGGAGGGGGGTGGAGTCATCGTCCCTGGAGGTGTGCAAGAAACAGCAGACGAGGCACTGAGGGACGTGGTTAGAGAGCATGGTGGGGAATGGCTGGTGGTTGTACTGGATGACATCAGTGATTGCTTTCATGTGTTGTTTTATTATTATACTTTTTACTGTCAAAGGTATTAAGGCAAAAAAGGCATCTTCGCAAGCAAAACTTAGCAAAACTCATACTCTTATTTTTAAAGCATATTCTCACGTCAGACCGTGTATTTGCCTGAACTGTACATGTGAAGCCCTAAGTGCACCACTCCTGTGCTGTGAAGTTCTCAGCACGTTACAGATGGACATAACATGAGAGGTGGTTGAGTCACCACCACTGGAGGTGTTCAAGAAACGTATAGGTGTGGTACTAAGGAAGATGGCTTAGTTGGCAGTATTGGCAGTAGGTCAATGGTTGGACTGGATGATCTCAGAGACCTTTTCCAGCCTTGGTGATTCTACAGTTCCATGATTCTAAAGTTGGAAAGACCAACAAAATCATCTAGACCAAACATGGGAGAGTTCCTGAGGCATCAGTCTTTCCTACAAATTCATCTTTGTATCTTGCTGCTCATTAACTGGGTTTAGCGTGGATGTTTATGACAAATAACCCTTCTGTTGTGTATTTTGTTTTAAGACTAGTTTCTTCACAGACTTTCATTTCATTTGGCGTCGTCCTGTTTTTAGCCAGGAAAATACAGATTTCATTTTACAAAATTGACACGCATTCCTGTCTGCAACATTAAAAAAATTGCATATGTTTTCTGATCTTTTCAGATTTGAGATGGAAAATATTTGCTGCTCTTTTTCCCAGAAAATCAACTAAATATTGCTTACATTCTCTCTTCAGTAGAATCGAGATAAATCACAATCCAGAGGGCAAATCTCCAGCTCAGTATTGATCTCCATCTCTGCTCATTAGTGTTTCTGTTGGATTGCAAATGCAAGAGCCAGGAGCTTTGCTTTCATTTGTCTGACACAAAAAATAAAAGCTACCTCACAGCTGATTCTAACTGACGAAGGGTGAAAAATACATCGGTGAAACATTTTATTTCACTGCTGCTGCCTTACAATGCTGCCTCCAGGACATGGCACAGACGTGGCACACAAAGCCCTTCTTGTCCAAGCAGGGCAGATTCAGCTCTGACATGAGCAAGGAAGACAGAAATACCTTTTTTCTTCCACTCGTTTTCCATCAGCATAATGCCAACCTTTGCAGCTCCGTCCTGCTGTGCTGCACTACCCCTGGGTCCAACCCCACAGGCAGAGCTCCTCTGCCATCAGTGTGTGCTCAGCACTTGTAAAGGTTGTCCATGATTCTATGTGTCTGTGGAAGAAACGTGGATGTTCTCATGTGCATTTATCCAGGATCACGTTTTTGTAGGATCTCACCCCTCTTGCTGTGGGCAGATGGATCCATGTCCCAGGGGAGAGCTTTTAATTGAAATTCATTCCACCCAACAAGCTGTTCCATCAAGTATAACTAACAGAACCCAAACTGTTTTAACAAATTGCCCCAGATTTAAATGCTCTCTGGCCTATATTATTCACAGGGCCAAATTAATCAGTCTTCTGCTTTCTGAGTTTACAAAGCAGATGCAGCAGCGAGACTCAGTGAGTAATGCTGATGTTTATGATGGAGGATCTCTTATCAGGGCTGAGGTCTTCTCTTCTTAGGGAATACTTTTTGACCGGTCCTCACAGTGAATCTCTGAGAGCAGGAGGTCTGCAAGACTGCCAGAAACAAGTCTGTACAGCCATGGGTAGGATAAGGAGCAGTTTCCACCAAAACAAGCTCAGAATGGCAGGGAACAGACATCACTGATACCTTTTTAACAGATGCTTTGGGAGCTGTCAATGATTTTCACAGCCAGCTATGCCAAACAGGAATGAGCAACCTGCAGCCTGACTGTGACTCACGTCCCGAAATTCACAGACAGATTTCACAGCCCAACATTTCTTGTTAGGGAAAAGAGTGACATTTTTAAAGGTGAAAATGGACAAATTCCTCTTCATTCTCCCTATAAGAACATGCCTCTGTGGTATATGGACTGCAGGAGAGAACAAATACTGAGCATACCATAGTTCATTATCTTTTGCAAGGGATGAGGTCAAAGACTTTTTAAATTGCATTAGCTGCAAATGTCTGTCCTGTCATCATACAGGCACAGGCACACTGTGTTGAAAAACTCACAGGATCACAAGCAGGCTGTAATGGACATATAACAAATCCCAAAGCTGTTATCTCAATGTATTTGTGTTTTGTTTGCTGCTATTTGAATGTCATCACATGATCATC